GGCTTTGGCAGAGTGGTGACCCCTGCTCCCTGCCATGTGGATTTGGCCAGAGTGGGGACCCCCACAGCTTTGGTAGAAGAGGATCACACGGCTTTGAGGTGCTCCCTTTGGCCATGTGGTCTGGGAAGTGGGAGAGACTTTGCCTGGAAAATGGGTACAAAGTACTCTTTCCAGTAGGCCATGAGAAGGTACCACATGGCTTTGGATTAATTAGAGATCCTGCCTGGACAGCAACAGAGCTGATGGTGCCCACAGCCAGAATCATGGATGTCTATTTCTTTTCCTGAGATACTGTACACCAAATTAGGGCAGAGGGAGAAGGAAGCATTGTAGGCACTTGTGAGTATCCTGAAGGATTTTGATATTTTAATGAAAACATTAGGTCACTACTTTAAGTCTGTATAGCTTTAAATAAACATTTTCTTTCCTTTTCACAAATCTCTGACATTGAGAGACATCTTTCCTAAGGCAGTGACAATCAAACCTAGTGGGGGTTCCTTTTGATAATATTATATAGTAATCCCCCTTGGCCCTGTGTGTGGATGTGTTCTGTAATGGTTTTTGGCGTCCCTGGGTCAGCCAATAATTGCTCCCCGCCCTGCCCCCAGCTTGTTCTGTAACACCAGTGACTCTTCAGTGGCTGCTAAGAAGTTGAAGACACAACAACACAACTTAGGAGGTTCTCAATGGGACTTCTGTGAGAGACAATTAGCTTTGCAAGTCACATTTGTAAACGTTAAATGATTTAAAAACAACTACTTCACTGTCTTTTTCTTCAAAATTGAAACTGCCTACAGGTTTCTAAATCAGCCACATCTTGAGCCATACTGACTTTCTGGGCAAAGGCAAGATGTTTCAGAATGCTGGAAGTGTTGTCATCCTATTAGCCAAATTTATTGTATATTTTCTGTAATATAATTCATTTCTAGTTGATAGTACCCAGCCTAAATTTAAGGATGCTTAAAAAACATAACCTGTCAAAGAAGATGAAAAAAACTTTGCAAGTCTGACTCTGGCATGTTCTTAAAAATTTTATCCATTATAATAGCACTGTACTTATTTCTAGTGTATATATTTTGTTCATTTGTTATTTTAAGAGGAAAAGGTTGACAAGAATGAAATGCTGATCTTTAACATTATAAGCCAAAGACAATGTATTCATCAAGATAAGGTGGGTTATGTTACCATAACAAATAACCCCCCAATTTCAATGGCTTTAAACAACAAAGGTTTATTTCTCCCTGGGGCTATATGTCTATTGGAGAGGAAGCTCTGCTCCCATCTCACCCTTTTCCTCACTCTGGGATGCAAGTTGATGGAGAAACCACTGCCTGGGGCATTGCTGCTCCTGCAGGACAAGGAAAGGAAGACACTGAAAGGCCTCTTATTGAAAATGAAATGTTTTATCCCACTCACAACTCCTCAGCCAAAAAGGTCAGAGCCTCCTCAACAACAAGGGTGCCAGGAAGTACAATCCCACGCTGTGCCCAGTATGGGCAGAATAGGCCTGTTTGGAGAACTGCACAGTGTGGATGATACCGGCCAGCAGTATCCATCTTGGCTGCAGATGCTTGTCAAAACATACTAAAAACATACACAGGGACAACCAGGTCCTATGGGGGAATAGGAAGAGCAGGGCCACTCCTCATGTGGGGTGCCGCTTGGCCACCCTCTCTCCTGGAGGGTGCCATGGCCACTCTGTCTCTGGTGGGGAGAGTGTGCAGTTCCCCCTCCAGAGAGGCTTTTTATTGGTTTCATTTGCATAAGAATTCAGGTAAAGCTCATTACTCATTGCTAGGAAGTAAGGATCAAACAATAAATAGCAAGGAAGTCTGAGGGCCTATTTTGAGTCAGAGTCAAAGGGCTGTAAAAAACTTTAAGGAACAAACTTACTTCTTCCTTGGACCCTTATCATTCAACTGAGAGCATTCTAAACAAAGCAGGTTTCACAGGAGTTTACATATTCTTTCTTAGGCTGATCACCCAGGGAACCCGCCTTTTTTAGCACAGAGCTTCACCAGCCTGTCATTGTTTCAGGCTTAGGTGGAGCAAGGGAACTAAGGCAGTCAAGAGATAAGGAGATTTTCTCCCAGATGATGAGGACTCAGGCTCTGTCAAAGCCAAGGAGCGAGGGTCCATCACCCCCTTTGCTGTAGCCCCCAAAGTCCTTTCTTGGGGGCCTCCCATGTGATCATGCCTTAGGTCATTTGCCCCTTGGGGAATCTTACCCATCATTGGCTAACTGACCAAGCATTGAGGTTCAGTTATGAATGAAGCAGCAGAAGCAGCATTCTTGCCAAGGAGATAAGCTTTTGTCTCCTTGCTGGCTTACAGTCCAAGGCCACTCCCTCAGCCTTAGCCTTGGCGGAGGGGTTACAGCTTCTGATACCAGGCAGGGCAGTTCCCAACAGCACAGAATCCCACCATTATCATTTAGATGGGGTTTGCTCCACATTCTAACAAGTCTGGTTTACGTTACCAATGACTTTAGGTTAAATAGTATGGAATAAATCAGGACATAAGCAAAAACCATATCAGCAAAACAAAATATGTTGGAAGAGCCATAAAAAACAGAACAACAAGAATCAAGAGGAATTCTAAAAAGGGCGAAAATTCTTTTGATTCAAATGACTGGGGAAGGTTTTATAGACAAGTTTATTGGATGAGAGCCTTAATATAGGAAAACAGTTTAATAAGTGGGACGGGACAGGGAGACAAAGAGAAGGGATTTCTGAGCAGAGTAAACAGCATGGCCAAACTTGTGGATTTTGAAATATGGACTTGATAACTGCATGGTGCAAGTTTCACAGTGACAATGATGTCTTAAACCAGCTCATTTCCTAATCTTCCTGAGCTCCTGGTACATACCTACACTTGTCACATGGGGTGTTAGGGATACTTTATAATATCTCATTCTGATGGTTCAGTGCAAGTATGCAAACATGCATACTGAGTGCTAACAAGTTGGTACTTTCAAGAGGTACTTCTTGAAAGTTAATGTGTTCTTATTATCAGACAGACAGCAAAGAATATAATCCTAACCTTGACCAGAGGGCAATAAACCTTTCACATCTACTTTGCATCCCTATGTTGCCCCTTGTAAAAAACTAGCAGAACTTTTACCTGACATTTTTCATGACTGGACCTATCTCCATAGCTTTTTACAGCCCCCTAGGCTGTCCTCCTTATACAAGTTCGTGGGAGGCAGGGGATTTACTTGTGTTTCTAACCCTAGGCTAACCCCCTCCATTTGCTTAAGGCAAAGGTGTGAGGAATTCTAAGAACAAAACAATTTTAAAAAATGATCAGCTATTATCCTTATGACTATGAAGTTATATGAAAATATCTGAGGCAGATGCCTGCTTCTCTGGGTCACCAATGACTTGTATACATGGGGTGGGCAAAGGCCTAGAATTAAAGTAATGGAATAGGAAAGTGACTGAAAGAAATGGAGAACTGTGAAACAAGGAAGGCAGATGAGACCCTGCCCCAGTGTGGAGCAGGACACTGGCAGAACAGAGCAGCTGCCTCAGGTCACAGCCAGCATGCAGGTGAGAAGCTCTGACTCCTGACCTGCATTCATGTATGGTGTCAAAGGCAAGAGCAAGTCTGCAGAGCCCTTAACAGCACATGTGTTGTGCTGAGATTGGGCCAGATCAGAACAGAGCACTCCAGACAATTTAAGGCCCAGGCTAAAGACCAGTGAAGTCACCCCTTTAGGTGCGGTGGTGGAAGGAGCTATATTACACTTTTATCTGCACGCCAATGTTGGAAGATGCTGTACATAGAGGGGCCCAGGACCCTCACATCAATTTCACCAATTTGCTGCTTGGAAAACATTCATTGAAGGAGAACTCCATTTAGGGAGTTGGCAGGCATCCCCAATGAAATTTGGTTAGCAGCAATTGTTCTCAAATTTTATTCCACAATTTCAGTTGCCTGTGAAGTTTTAAACACCCTGAAGCCAAGGCCACACTGTAGACCTGCTTAAGTCATGATTTCTGGACTGGGGCCTGGATATCAGGTTTCAAAATTCCATGAGGTGGCTCCAATGGGCCACAAAAGTGGAATGCAAGTAGATCACAGCCTTGCTACTCAAAGTGTGGTCCTTGGACCATAGTATCAGCATCACTTGGGAGCCCACTAGAAATGCAGATTTCCAGGCATCACCAGCCCTGTGGATTGTGCTGAATCACATCCTCAAGTGCTTTATTTGCACATGAAAGCTTGGTAAGTACTGGACAGGATGCCCTTTAATGGAGCCTAATGGAGAACCCTGAATAATGTAACAACCTGGGGTGGGGATATGCTAAGAACAGATCTGGAAAGCTGTTCAAGAAACTGAAAGAACCCATGTACCTAAGTTTCTGCTTTACTGTTGTGCCTGCACAGATTAACTTTCACACTGTCTGACTATCCAGAGTCCCACTTAGTCAAAGGTTTCTTGTTTTCTTTGAAAGCTTAATATGCAACAAGCAACTGCAAGTGCTTTCTGTTTATCATTGATTAATCCTCAGGGCTGACCAAGCTGCATATGTACAGTTCTTGTTTTGCAGAAGCACAGCGAGGTTAGGAACCCGCCCACTGTCACCTAGCTCTTCAGTGGCCCAGGAAGGATTTTGCTTTGCTTCTAGTTTTCTATCTATTTTCCAGTGTTACCAAAAGTCAGTTTTATGTTATGTTAGCATTGAGGAGAAGGGATGAGGATGTCAAGCAGATATTGCCCAAAACAGTGCCAGGGCCTCTGCAGCCATTCCTCTGAATAGCCTGGCCCTTGTGAAGAGTTGGGGAGAGGGAGAGACAGGGACCGGCTGGGAAAACTTCTTGGGAACACTGAAGGGCAGCTGCTGAGGGCAATCCCAGGCTTGCACAGAGCCTGAAAGTCTCCTCTCTGGTCCAAAATCATAGAAGAGCAGCTGCAGAACAAGGTCATGACCATCACAGCCAGGCTGCACCCTGAAGAATAAGAAACATCACCATCTTCCAGCCAGAGTGTCAGAACTAAAGCTTTATTTTAATATTTCATTATTCTCAGAACATCACTGGCCACTAGAAACTTGAATGCAAGGGCAATTTTTATCACTGTAGAATAAGGAAAACATAACAGATAATGGAAGTGTAACAATAAATACACCTTAAATATAAATATACACATTGACATCCCATACATATAAAAGTCATGCTCTATAAATACTCTGTCCACAGTTGTCTTTGTGGGATTCTGAATTCCAGGATGGAGCTTTGAGGGCTGACATGTCTCCCATGAATTATGGATACTTCCAGAAAGCTGATGTAGGAGCAACACATTACACATTTTGAAAAAAAACTTTCACAGAGCAACTTTTTAAATATGTAATATATTTTTATTCCACAAAGAATGAGCATTTCTGAAATATTACAAACAGTAAAATAAACATACTAACATGGATACATACAATGTACTACTTTATACTTCAAAAATGCAGGAAGATAAACTATATATATGTTGTTATAGATAAAATTTTGATCTGATGAACAATTTGATATTGCTCTTATATTAATCTTGCTGTATTGCAGGCATGCCCAGGGCATGCCCATGGCTTGTCACTGGACGAAGGAAGGAGTGGCAGGGACAGAAGGGAATGCCTTGGAGCCCCATGCTTATTTCCAGAGCATCATCTTCAAAGCAATATTTTGAGTTTTTTACTTACTCTGCTAGGTCAAAACTTCTGTGCCCATATGCAATGTAGGGTGCATCCTCAAGAACTACAACTACATATTTGGGATGGGGCCACATAAATGCTAACAACATCTAATTCAATGGCACTAACTCCTGAACCAGTTGGGGAACTCCTGAAAGACTATTTGCCATAATCACAATACTATCAGTTCCATTCATAGAAAATGATCTCAGAGCAAAGACTTGTGATTGGAGCATCAATAGCCTTCCTGTAAACTCATAAGCAAAATGCAGAGGAACAAAATGTGTCCTGAATGAGATCAAATTTTCACTAATGACAAGTTTCTTGTATTGATGAAGCTCTAAGCACTTAAAAATGTAGACACCAGCTTGAGAGGGCGAAAAGCAATTCTGACCTGTATCGGTGGGAACCGGATGGTTGGCAGGGAGATCACACACTGGAAGCCTCATGGACATGGCAGCCTGTGGGAGGCCGCCCATTTTACTGTTAGTAAAGTGCCCCTGCAAGATTTCTAAATTCCACTCTGGCCATTAAGCCTTGTTTCTTTTTCCACTTAACCCATAACCAAAATAAAAATTGATGACATTTTCTCTGATTATAGAAATAGAAAAAATGTAGAGACAAGTTCAAACACAAATGTCCTAGAAAACCCACCAACTCAATCTCACTGTGAGGGCTGTGAGTCAGCCACTTGGAAAAGGACAAACCCGTGGGAAGCATACCCATTAGGACTTGGATGGGGCCTGGAGAGGGGTTCTGGGTATCCCTGCTGATGCCCAGGCTCCTTCCACATCCTCCCTGCTCAGGATTTGTTCTCAGAGGCCACAGTGATGGCAAGACCACAGAGCAAATGGTTCTCAAAGCAAATCCCACACACTAAACCTATCCCAAGGGGGAGTTATTAGAGGAGTAGGGAGGATGAGACAGAGGAAAGGACAATTTAACCAGAGGGGGTAAATTTAGGATTTGTTGAGAACAGGAGCTGCCAAGTTGTGCTGCCTCAGCCCTGCTCAGGAAGGTCAGGTGCCATGTGAGGAAACCCACAGGATGTGCATGCAATCATTCCACATTTGAGAACTCTCCCCAGGCTGGTGCTGCTATCCACAGCCAGAGAACTCCCTGCAGGCCACAGGAATGACTGCTGCAAGAAAGGTTCTGTAGTTGTGGACAGCATGGGTTATGCTCACTGGAACAGACAGGAGAACTCAACAGGCTCTGCCAGTGGGAGTTTTCAGGAAGCAGAGCCAAACCAGACTCAAGGATAGCAGGACAATTGAAAGCGGTGGGCTCTGTCCTCCCTGTCTCCAACCATCCTGTCTGCACACCAGCAGGCAGGAACCAGCAGTGGCTGTAATTCAGTTTGAAGGATTAGAATGCACACAAGATCATTAGGAGAAAAAGATAATTGTTTCCCAAGTGAACACTGCATTGAACAGCTCTTAGGAGACATTTATATGGAAAATGCAAGATAACCTCCTACTACTTGAAGACATTTTCCAGAAATATGCTGTTATAGTTAAGTCACTGAAACACAGTGAAGAACTTGTTTGAAACTATTTCATTAAGGTGCAAAGTATGGCATACTCATGTCTGTGTCACTTAGAAGACAAATGTGCTTCTGGCCTTCAGATGGTCTTTTAGTGTCAGCTGTTGCCCAGCTAGATACACACTGAGTTATTTAAAAGAAGAAATCCATCTTTCAGAAAAAGAGAAATATCTACCTTAATTGCTTTTATTTAAAATCTGAAGGCTGGAAGAAGTTATATCCTTCACGGATTAAAGGAAGGAAACTTCACACGTAAAACCCTTAAGTCTAACATAGGAGTAATGCAGGGTGTTCATAAAGTCACAATATCCTTACTCACACACCGAAGAATCCTTGACAGAGCAGCACACTTGTAGTGAACTCATCATTCATTGTGTATGAAAAGAAACTCTCTAAAAGGTTAAACCAATAGCTGCTAACTAGGTCTAGTGAGGTGAGTATACTCCCTCTGGGAAGCAAGGCGCACAGGTCAGCTGGGAATTGCAGTGAGCATCCTCTGTGGGAGGCTGTTATTCTATTTTAATCCAGCTAAAAAAAAAAACAGGAAATACAGCCACTTTGGCCTGGTCTTTTCACTTCCTCCAGCCTCTCCCCTCCCTCAAGGAGGCACTGGCTTTTGAGCAGTGGGAAAGGCCTGGTCTGTGGTAGCACCTGAGGCTCCAGGTGAACATGCTCAGGCACACATGCAGGTGACAGTGGCTCCCTTCAGCTCATGGTACCTCCTAATGGCACATGATGCCTTCAGAGAATGCTGGTACCTCTCAGCTCCCTGCGAGGCAGAGCATGTTCATTTCCATTTTGACTATCTGGCAGATTCCCTGGTTCTGAACAGGGGTGGGGAGTGGGGCTTATTGTTGGTGGTGTGAAATGCCTTCTTAAGGACAATAGGGCATGTCTCAGTCAAAATGCAATATATAACATATGGGCATCTTACATGCTACCCTGACGATGGTGGGTTTCATGGGGAAGGGGGAAGGCAAGGTGACAGGGGACATGAGAAGGACATTCACATGAGCACACATTTGCCTTTAAGCTTTTCTTTCCTTTTCTGCTGCTTGCTCTTTTTCCCATCAATCTGTAGGCTCACGGTCCTGCGCTTCTCCAGGTTGAGCAGCTCCTGAAAGAGCTCCTTCACATTGTGGTTGAGCTTGGCTGAGGTCTCCATGAAAGCACACTTCCACTTGCGGGCCAGGGCCTCTGCCTCACTGCACTCCACCTCGCGGTTTGGGCTCTCATCACACTTGTTCCCCACTAGCATAATGGGGATACTCTCCACATCCCCTTTGATCTCACAGATTTGTTCATAAATGGGTTTGAGCTCTTCCAAGGACTGCCGGCTGGTGATGGAGTACACCAGGATGAAGGCATGCCCTTTGGAAATGGACAGCCTTTGCATGGCGGGAAACTGGTGGCTGCCTGTAGTGTCTGTGATCTGCAGTGTGCAGATGCTCTTGTCACAGCTGATGACCTGCCGGTAGGTGTCTTCCACAGTGGGGATGTAGCTCTCCCGGAATGTGCCTTTCACAAACCTCAAGACTAGGGAGCTCTTGCCAACACCACCTGCTCCGAACACAGCCACCCGGTAATCATTGCTCTGCTCTGGCATATTGCTTGAGGGCTCCAACTATCAACCAAAAAGCACCTAGCAAAGGAATAAGATGTTTGAGAGAATTAATAAAAAAATATATTGAAAGAGATCACTTTACCCTCTAATGATATCTTAAAAAAAAAATCAAAGTTACATAGTTTGCTTTCACTCTCCCAACATTCAAATGTCACTTAAAAATTTCTTAAATTTGGCCCTGGCTGGTGTGACTCAGTGGATTGAGTGCAGGCCTGCAAACCAAAACATCGCTGGTTTGATTCCCAGTCCAGGCACATGCCTGGGTTGCAGGCCATGTCCCCAGTATGGGGTGTGCTAGAGTCAGCCATACATTGATGTTGATGTTTCTCTCCCTCTCTTTCTCCCTCCCTTCCACTCTCTAAAAATAAATATAAATAAAACCTTTTAAAAAATTCTTAAGTTCTAAATCCAGTCATCAATTTCTAAAGGGGCAATCTACTCATCTTTGCTCACATATGTACCACCTACCTAGAGGAAAAATGCCAAGTATTCCCAAGGGAGGCAGAATCAAGGAATGCTGAGGGAGACATGGCAATTAACTCCCCCCACACACACACTCAGGCACACATACACAATCACAGCATGTCTCCATTGTTTTTCCTGAAGTTTTTTAAACACCCAATGCACTACTCATAATATGTAATTTACTTTTTTATGAGCAGGGGGCAGGGAAGCAATTGGGTGGAGAAGACTATTAATATTTATTCACAGTCTAAGTTAACTCATGAAATCCTCACCACCTTGCAGAATTGGTGTCATTGTCCCTTTTGCACAATGAAGAAACTGGAAACACACAAGGAATCAGGGAGTGCAATGTCCCCATCTCGGCAGAGACAGTGAGAGGTGAGGCTGTGATGCAAACTGAAGTATCACAGCCACCTCGCTCACCCTGCAGACTGCCTAGGCAGAGAGCAAGTAGCAGTGTTGAGGGGCACCACTCAGGTCACAGGGTGAGCTATCTCAACTCAAACAAGAATTGACAGCCAACAAAAAAGCTTGGAGAGTCCTTTTATTCATCCAGTTTAAAACAGTTACAAGTGTTTCATATTTATGAAACATAAGGAGTCACGCAGTATAAAGAAAATAGAATTACTATCAGCAGTAATTAAAATGGAGTACAATGGGGTTTGTATTTAACACAAACATCGCCCCAAATCCATAAATAAATGTACTTTCCTCACATACAGATTATCTTTCATCCTGCCCCTTCTTTGGTAAGAGAGGTAATATAACACACAACAGAGCAAAATTAAGCAACATCCAAATTTTGTTTTAGCTGAAGTGTATGGATTATATGATAACAGAAAGTATGAAACCCATTTTCTCCAGACAACCACTGTGCTGGCTTTCACTTTTCAAATGTTAGAGTAACTGAGGACTAATAATGAAAGTCATTTTCTGAGGCCAGAAAAATATTAAACGTAATTATCCATGGAGGGGAATGACTGTGGACAGTGAGGGATCACAGACCAGGGACTGTGCATCCATCTCCTGATTTCACCACATACACATGGCTACAAATCCACTCAAACACTTAGCTGTTCTCATATGCACTTTGGAATCCCAAACCAACCAAGAAACTGAAGAAACATCAATGCTAAAAGAGAAAATAGACAGATGTCAGGAAGTTCATTAACAGTGAAAGACTGTGAGAAAGCCTGCTGGGGAGTTTAATTAGTCCATTAAATGCTCATGAGATCCTTATGATAAATTCAAGAGCATAGAATTGTGATAAATTGTTCTATGTTTTAACAAATGCAATGGTCTATAAAATCTGGCATAAAACTTCTCTTTGCATCATCAGAATGAGGTTTTCTTTATGCTTTGAAGGCAGGGTCCTCACTCAGCCTTGCTTGTATTATGGTGCTTTAGCTCCAGACTGGAGGTAAAGCATTTAGCTGGAAGGGAGCATGTTTTAGCAAGCTCTGTATCTGAAAATCTCTTGGTCTGAAGCTCACGTTCATTCTGCATCTTGATGAGTATTTCTCAGTCAACCTAACGTGTCTCCATTATTAGACTGGTAACCAGATATAGAAAACAAAGATAAAACATAAAAAAGAACCTAATTTGTGGCTGCTATAATTCATTTCTCCAAGAAATCTCTATTGAACTTCCTCTAAAAATGGGGCTCTAGGCTCTGGGCCAGCAAAGAGCTGTGCAGAGGACAGATCTAAGGCAGGGCCTCTGTTCTTGTAGAATTTAGGATCAAGTGGAGCTGACAGACATCAAAAAGATAACTTCACAAAGATTTAATAAATTACATCACAGGAATGTGGCAAAAGAGAGGTTTAAAGGAGTCTATCCAACCTGGGGTATCAGGAACAACTTCCCTCAGGAATTGGCATGGGAACAGGAGACAGGCAGGTGAAAGGTTTGTAAAAGTTCACTGAATTTATGAGTGAGGTCTAGGGTAATAGCTCCATACTGATCTTCATATTCTTCCACCTCAGATTCATTCATTCATTTTATAAGCATTTGTCAAAACAAAACATGACAAAAACCTCCACATAATATGCAAACTTGGTGCTTACCCAACAGAAGCTACAGAATGGTGATAATAACACTAATTTCCTCACAGAGCTGCTGTGAGGAAGGACCAGTAAGGACCAGGCAGAAAAGGGGATCACAAAGAAGCATTCAGGAGAGTGGGGAGAAACTGAAGAAAAGATGACAAAAATGCCAAGAGAGCATAACAATGCCAAAAAGACATTGAGGGTGTGCAACCAAAGCAGTACTTAAAGGAAAAATATAGCTATAAACAACTACATTAAATGAGAAGAAAGGTCTCAAATCAGTAATGTAATTTCCCCACCTTAATAGAGAAAAAGAGCAAACTAAATCCAAAGAAAGAACAATTATGGAAAAATTAATAAAATTATGAATATAAATGTAATAAGGATGAATCAATAAACCCAAAAAGTGTTTCTTTGAAAATATTAACAAAAAGAAACTTTTTGTTCAACTAACCAAAAAGAAAAAAAAAGGTTAAAAGACTCAAATTACTAAAATCAGGAATGAAAGCAAAGACATTACTACTGACCTTACAGAAATATAAAAGATTATAAGAGACTCCTAAAATAAACTGTATGCCAACAAGTTACATAATTAAGATGAAACAGATATAAACTACCAAAGCTGACTCAAGAAGAAATTAAAAATATGACTAGACCTATAACAGGTAAAGATATCAAATTAGTAATCAAAAAACTATCCACAAAGAAAATCCCAGGGCCAGATGGCTTCACTGGTAAATTCCAGCAAACATTTAAAGAGGAATTAATACCATTTTTTCATCCCTGGCCAGTGTGGCTCAGCTGGTTGAAACAGCATCCCGTAACCAAAAGGTTGTAGGTTCAATTCCTAGTCAGGGCACATACCTAGGTTGCAGGTTCAATGCCCAATCAGTGTGCAGGTGCATGTGACCCCTGGTCCAGACACATATGGGACACAACCAATTGATGCTTCTCTCACTCATTGATATTTCTCTTTCCCTTCCTCTTCCCCTTCCTCTCTCTTTAAAAGGAATGAAAAAAATGTGCTGAAATGAAGATTAAAAAAAATTCTTCACAAAGTCTTCCAAAAAAAATGAATAGGAGAGAACATTTCTCACTCTTTCTGAATGTAGTATTATCCTGATACCAACACCAGGAAAAGATATCACAAGAAAACTACAGGCCAGTATTTGTTATAAATACAGATATGAAAATTCTCAGCAAAATAATAGCTAATTGAATTCATCAAAGTATAAAAACAATTTTACATCATAAGCAAGTGGGCTATATACCAGGAATGCAAAATGGGTTTAACAAAATTATATTTTTGGATTGTATTCATTTTTGGATAACATCCAAATGTGAGTACAACATAACTTATCAATAAACTAAAAGACAAAAACTATGATAATTTTGATGTAAAAAATAACAAAACTTAGCACCCGATCATGAAAAAAATAAGCCTTAAACCAGGAATAAAAGGGAACTTCCTCAACTAAATAAAGGGCATATAATTTAAAACCCAGAGCTAAAATAATACTTAATGATAAAAGACTGAATATTCTTTCCCTAAGATTAGAAAAAAAGGTGTCAACACTTACAGTTTCTTTTTTTCTTTTTGAGTTGAAATTATGATTTAATACTTGTGTAAACATGAATGGTCATTCTCCCAGAGCCAAATGAAGTACCACTAAGAATTATATAAAAGGAATTATAAGCAATAATTTGTTTTCATATTCTTTAGAGATAAAAGGGTTTAAAAAACAAAAATTTGACTATCATGTCATTGTACAGATATAATAGTGACATAATAAGTAAATTTGGCCCATTTAAAAGTATATGTTCTTAATTCTGTCATCCATTTTTAGTTAATATTTTATTTTTTTTTACTGAGGCATAATTTAAATATAACAATCTATGAATTTTGAAAAGATAAAAAATAAAATAAAATAAAAACAAAGAGTTGCAAAAATGAAAAATATAATTTTGCTATAGCCTATTTCCTTAGGCGTGTTCTGTAAATTCCAAATGAGTAAAATAATAGAGTAATATATTTTTAAATCTTTATAGAATGAAAAGGAAACCACATTAATCATTAAACATTCTTGCATTTTCTTTATTCTCCCACAGATTAATTCACAAGTGTAAAAACTGATATATATTTATATTCTGAAGTACAAATTTCAAACAGCCAAGTAGTCATACATAAATGTGTGAAATAGATGTTGCATATTTGCTTGCTATGGAAAGCAGAGTATAGGCTCAATGGAGAATAACCATTAAACACTGATGTTTTTTAAGAAAAATGTTGTAAAAATATACAATAGTACATATTTCTGGTAATTATGTACTTATCAAGGTAGATAACAGTTTTTAAATATAAATCTTTTAAAGGCTGTCTTTGAAGAACTGTGAACTGACTTGTTTCAAATTTGTTGTCATCTGTAACTTTTATCACTCAATTTATTCTCCTATATTCTATCAATAACACTTTAATCATTCTTTTTGGAGCCACTTGTTTTTATT